GTTCTTTAAAGCCTTGCGAGAGCCCAAGAACTTTTAGTAGACTGACGAGTGCCAACAGGCGTTTGACGAGCTCAAACAATATCTGGCGTCAACACCCCTATTGTCCAAGCCTGTGGAGAGGGAGAGTTTATACTTGTACTTGGGGGTTACAGAGGAGGTGGTGAGCTCGGTTTTGCTAAGGGAAGAGAATAAACATCAGAAGCCTATATCTGCTATATGAGCAAGGTTTTACAAGGCGTAGAGCAGAACTATCCACTAGTAGAAAAGGCTGCTTTTGCCCTGGTCTACACGGTTCATAAGTTGAGAGCTTACTTCCAATCACATCAAATTATTATCTATACCGATCTGCCGTTGAGGAAGATATTGTAAAAGTCGAAACTCTCTGGTCGGCTTATCGGATGGAGCGTTGAGCTGAGTGAGTATGACCTCAAATTTCAGCCGTGCACAACCATAAAAGGCCAGGCTGTGGCGGACTTCCTAGTGGAGTGCCTCTTGGCGACGGTGGAAGAAAGGGCGCCTAAATACCTAGTCTGCGTTTTGTAGATACAACTACTAATATTGAAGGATCGAGTGTTGGGGCTGTGTTAGTGGGCCCAGATGGCTTTAAATCCGAGCATGCATTAAGGTTGAAGTTTCAAACAACAAATAATGCTGTAGAATATGAAGCCCTCATTTATGGTTTAAAGTTGGCGTCCAAGCTAAAAGTTCAAAGCATAAAGATTTTCAGTGATTCTCAGCTCATTGTGGGCCAAGTGAATGGCAACTATGAAATCAGGGATCCTCAACTTGGTCGTTATGCCTTTGTGGTCAACATATTGAAATCAGGATTTACCTCTTTTCAGATCGACAAGATATCCATAGCAGATAACCAACGAGCTGACGAGCTATCAAAATTAGCCTCCTCGCAAGATATCAACCCTCAGAGGTCAAAATCATGGAGGTACTTGATACCCCGAGCTACACCGATTTCACAATCGAGTCTCAACTGCTAAGCATAGATCCTTCTTCACTAAGCTGGACTACCCCACTTATAGAGTATTTGCGAAGTGGTGAGCTGCCTGGAGACCCATCCACAGCAAAGTTGGTTAAACGCAAGGTGGCGCATAATCAACTCTACAAGCGAGCAGCCTCAATGCCCCTACTACGCTGCTTTACTCCTTATGAAGCTGAGTACGCTGTAAGAGAAGTTCATGAAAGAGTATGTGGAACGCACATAGGTGGCAAAACATTGGCTCAGAAACTCCTGAGACATGGGTATTACTAGCCTATTATGGTCGAGGACCCACAGAATTATGTCAAAAAATGCTCGACCTGCCAGTTCAATGTTGAGAACATTCACATGCTAGGTATCTTAGCTCGTCCTAAAGTTCATGTGAACCTCACGTTTGTCCATATACTAAATATAAATATCTACGGTGAAACAGGAGAAATGCTATCATCACTCTCATCACCCTGGCCTTTTGCTCAATGGGGAGTTGATCTGCTCGGCCTTTTTGTCAAAGGCAAAGGAGGTTGCACCTACTTAGTTGTCGCGGTGGATTACTTCACCAAATGGATAGAAGCCAAACCATTATCCATGACAATAGAGAAGAAAATTGAGGAATTCTTATTCAATTCGATATTATGCAGGTATTCTTTGGTGGCTTAAGCCATTTATACATTGTACACAAATATAATTTGTGGCTTAGCTCGGTCATCTGTGTACAGGTTCGGCATACCTAAACGGATTATCGTTGACAATGGTCCACAGTTCCGAGCCACGACACTGAGGTCGTTTTGCAACGACTATGGCATTGAGCTCGCCTTGACATCTGTGTATACTCCACAATCAAATGGACAAGCCGATTCCACAAATAAAATCGTCTTGCGAGGCCTCAAGATGCGTGTTTTAGCCACACATTCTAATTGGGTTGACGAGCTGAATAAAGTGCTCTGGTCGTGTCGCACTACACCCAGTTCGGTTACAGGCGAAACCCCATTTAGCCTCACTTATGGAGCTGAGGCCATTATCCCTATAAAGGTGGGATTGCCATCTGACAGATCAAATCAGCACGATGATCTTAATAATGAGCAACTTTTAAGAGAGAACCTAGACCCTGTAAAAGAGGTTAGGGAGATGTCTCGAATAAAAAACATGGCATATCAGGCTCGTGTTGCTAAATTTTATAATAAGAGATTGCAAGCTTGTCAGTTTCAGGTTGGCGATCTGGTTTTACGCAAAGCTGGATTAACCAATGCTTATTCACACATGGGCAAGCTCGCTCCTAATTGGGAAGGTCCGTATCTGGTTGTTCAAGTTAACCGACTTAGATCTTACATATTAGTAGACATGAAAGGACGCTAGTTACCATTTACATGGAATGTTCAGAATCTTAGAAAATATTACAATTGATTTGTATTATTACTGGACATTTAGAAAAGTTGAATGATGTATAAGTGCAATGCAAATAATACACAGTTTTCCAAAAAATCATCTAGATTGTATTCCTTGTAAATCCATTACATGAAGTATCAACATAAGTACAAAATATGTCCTAAACAAGGAAATGCTAAAACTATAAAGGCAGAAGAAACATATAAAAAAAAAAAAACCTAATCCTAGTCATCCGTTAAGTCAACGGGTATGGATGTGTCAACACGAGCTAGGGAGGAGATGGTAGCAGCGGGGGCAAACTGAGGCACGGGGGGAGTGCTTGAAGGTTCAGCTTCTTCTACGGGAGCGTCGCCCACCCAAGAGTTGAACCTAGGTAGGTTCTTAAACTCCTCTCCCTCTTTTAAAACAGACGGAGGCCATATAGGCACTCCTTCTTCGTTTAACTCCCAACGGAGTCGCACCGTCGTGTCAGTAGGGGAAGCAAGGATTTTCCCTTCTTCATCAAACTTTTCACCTTCAAAAAATGCCAGCTCGTTGATCGGAAAGTCTGGTCGGTGCTTCAACACTTTACCACGAACGTCATTATAAATCTCGGTCGTGGTGTTCATGGAAGCCACAGCCACAACATCTTTGAACATGTCAGCACCCATCAGCCACTCCGTGCCTTGAGCTTGTACAATACTTATACAACGCTGGTGTTGAGTTTTGGCCTTCCTCAGCCCCTCCTCTATGCGAGCAAGGTCCTGATCGGCCACAGCTACTTGCCGTCTCAGGGTGTTAAGGTCGTTTAAAGCGTTGTCTCTTTCAGCTTCAGCCTTCTTTGTGCGATCTACCGCACGAACGACCTCATCCATGGCTGCCTGGATCCCACTCTCTTTTTCGGCCTTAACCCTATCCAGCTCCTCCTGTAGCTGGTTAACTTTGTTGGCCAACTCGTTAGCCCGGCTTTCGGCAGATGCAGCTTTGTTGGCCATCTCCGAGCTTTGCAGACGGTTCACCTCATCGTCCAAGCTCACTTTGTCAAAGGCTAACCGCTTGCAACTGTCAGCCAGCTCGTGGTTTTGTCCACGAGCGGCCTGCTCACTCTCAAACAAAGCTATTGAGTAGCTTAACGCCTGTAATAACATTTCTATAGCCAGCTTTTGTTACAAAGAATACAACAAGTAACATGATTGCTTAACAAAATACTCACATCCATTAACTTCAGCATAGCCGCATGACCCCCGTGCTACTAAATATAACCCTTGGCACGCTAACAGTCTACAGGTGGGGTGAAGTTCTGCATACCCTAGACCATTGCGAGCTGACAGTCGGCTTGAATATAGCTAAAGCCTTTAGGGTATGCGATTCTAGGACCCACAACAACTGCTGGTGTGGGTAACGCCTCAGCAGTGCTGCGCGCCTAGGTTGCGAGCACGTCAAGTGAGCGCACCGCTCTGGATTGACTCCCAGAGTTCAATCTGCGCCGAATCAGAGGTACATCATCTTCGGCATCGGAGTATTCACGAGCGCGCCTCCGGGTCTCAGTAGAAACAGTTTCTGCTCTACGCTCGGCGTGTGGCCGTGAGGCCGAGTCGGAGCCTCGCTCCCTCTACGACAAGCTGCGAGGTGTTGCAGGCGACCGCTCGTCTAAGCGTGTTTGCCTCTGCATGCCAGACCCAGTCCCTCTAGCTCGTGAACGTTGAGCTCATTCACATTGCCTCTCGAGCTTGCTATTCATTTCTCCTGCACAAACAAGTGCAATAAGACTCAGCTCGTGAAAAGCATTAATTTACAATAGAATTGTACCTTCACTAAACAGGTTTGCGACATCCACAAACCCACGCAAAGCGAGCACCTCAGGGGTAACCAGGGCCTCCAAATCAACTAACCCCACCTCCTTCACATAGTTTGTTATTCGATCCTTGAGCTCCAGGTCGTCTAGGGTTAGCGTGGGATAGTTCATATACGTATACCCTAAGCGCCACTCAGAGAGGCGAGCTGCTAGACCGTTGTTGTCCCTTTCTGTTCGCGTATCCCGGACAAAATTAAACTGTCTTTTCCACCGAGACACATTATTCCTCATGTTCGTTAAGATCGCCATTTTTTCTCTCCTAGAGATATAGTACCACCTCGTCTGTGTGGTACTCAACAGGCATAGGAAGAGCGATCTGAACATGGTGGCCTTTGCAGGTATCTCCAACAGCATAAATCCTATGATAAATTTTATGCTGTTGGGGGTCAACTGCGTCAGCACCAGCTCGTACTGTGAGAGAATGTCAAAAATCAGCCCAGGCAATGGGAATCTCAGGTCGGCATTGAAGTGGTCCTACGGGTATCGACCCTGTTGCAGACACAGTGCATGCTCTTTCATTTTTTGTGCCAGTTCGTACCAAGACTATCCTAGGAACGTGGTACTGCCTCACTACTTCCTCCAGTTTTTTGTACCCTTTAATGGAGGTGGCGCAATCTATGACCTCATGATGCAGGTTTGCCCTAAACCTAAATTCGGCGGCCAATGTATGTGGCGCCTTGCGAAGGTTGCTCAGCCTGCCACCTATCGTTTTATTCTCCCAACCTGCAACCACGGGTGCATCCACAGCCAGCTCCATACTTTTCGATGAGGGGCTACTTACACCCTCCTCCACTTCTTCTCCGGTGCTGGGAGTCTTTTTTTATGACGACCCTTCAGATGACGGAGAAGGATTAGCATTGGAGCCCTTGTGTGTGCTTGAGCTGGCACCACTCTCGAGTGTAGGGGTTTCTGGCAAGTCTTGTAGTTCCGGCGGTACAATCATCACAATCGGTTCTACGGACATCACACTTTCCTCCCCTTCCATGCCTTGGTTACCCTGGAGTTCTCCAACTTCTCTGACAAATTCCATTTGTTATTACTTGAAAAATGGACTGTAGAATCCTCTGAAAATATCGCCTGAAAAGCTTGGGAGTCTTTTGCTGTAGAAGAGTATAGAGAATATGGAAATAGAATGCCAAACCAAAAACAGAGGTGACAGAGGGGTTAAGCGATCGTGCCCATCATTACCGTACACGCCTCTTTGCCAGCCAATCAAAATTTTACGCGTGGCAGTTACTTAATGCCTGGTGTGTAACGTCCGCTGGCTTTAGCTGTCACTTCTCTTCAAACGTTGAGCTAGCATTTATTATGGGGGATGAGGAATACTAACCGCTCTGAACCATATCTCTTCAGAGATTTCGTAAATTTAAATTTCAAAATTGACAAGGATCACGTCGTTACAAATATCACACACCAGATATTTCCAACCTTCAGAATTCAGGTCGTTACAAATATCACACCCAGATATTTCCAGATAGCAGAAATCAGGTCGTACTCAGTTTTAAACATTGAAGCATACTGGACCGATTCCTTCAATTTATCTTCCTAATAACAGGACGACCTCAATGAACACGATCTTCAAGGATTAGTGGCTCACCTCGTCCACCGCCTGCTCGCCTGCGTGCTGATATAGGCGAGCTCGTCACATAACGCAGTATATATTATGGGCGACACATGCCTGGCAAAGAATCTTTGCCCATCTCAAACCTGCCTCGTTTAGAAAAGGTAAACCTGTCACGTGAGCTCGCCTTTACGAGCTCGTTGAGCTCGCTGACAAACACCGAACCAGGTACTAGTTTCCCTACATGTATTCAATAGGAAGGAAGCGTGTCTATGCCCGCCCAATGATGTTGCCTAACTCAGTCAAGGGCTAGATTCATTCATTAAAATCAAAGGGGTTTACCTTTCGCCTCTCACACAAAATGTTGGGCCAGTAAGACCTTCACCCCAGTTGGTCAACCAAACACTGAGAGGGGAGTAATGTTGGGATTGGGCCAAACATTCAACCTGGGTCATGGGCCCAACCTTCAACCTGGGTCATGCCCAATAAGCCTAGTAACACTTCCACAAGATGGAGCTTAAAGTTCAATCTGGATCACTCTCAATGGGCCCATTCATACATCCACAAGATCCAAGCTGGGGAGACACACCCACATGAACTGTGACACATGGTCCAATGGGACGCACGCACATGCAGGCTAGTGTCAGTACACGGGGCTATAAATACCCCCAACCACCTTCATGCAAGGCAATTAACTCCACTACGCTTCTCTCTCTACAATTACTCTTCGAGAGCTTCTTTTTCTAGAATATTGAGTATTGCTAACTTGAGTGTCGAAGTGTTTTCCCCGGGGAAACATCCTCGGGAATTTCAAGTGCAGAAGCAGCTGAGGACTTCAACAGTGTTGGATCGTGAAGCTACCCAAATAATATGGAATTGTATCGGAGAAACTTGACTACTATTGTGATTAAGTGTTAAGGATTGTAAGGGTTGAGTACCCTTTGTTGTCCCTAAAATCACATCTCGTGGTAAAAATTAGAACAAAAAGCCTATCACCTATTTTTACTAGAAATATAGGAAAAGAATTTCTGGACAACCCTTTCCTTCCATTCGATTTTTCTCGTGAAAAAGATTGTTGGAAGAACATCGCTTAAAAAGTAATACACTTGAATCAGATGATTGGCAAAAATGAAGGATTAATTCCTATACAATGAATTCAAACTTACCTTAAATACACATCATGAACATTGGTTATGGTAAACAAGTATTAAAAAAAATTAAATTAAAGTACCAGGAAATGAATAAGTTAAAAACAAGTGCTGGAAATTAACAAAAGAAAGTGTAGAAAATGTAGTTAGATAGAAACATAAATTGTAGTTAGAAAACGGAATTTGACAGAAATGTGGAAAGCAAAGCAAGCTAAAATTCAACCAAAGCATAATTTGCAGTAGAAATGTAAAAGACTTTGAATTTAATTGGAATTGTAGAAATATTTGAATTTAAATTAAATGTTTAACAATTGGAAAATCAAGTAGAAGTAAACAAAAAAAAAAAAAAAGTCTTGAAAACTAATCTTATAAAAAACTAAATCAACTATGAATAAGAATCTGTTGGGGAACGTTGATTTATTTCTACTGAA